ATCAAATTAATGCCTGGATTAGATTATAAATGCTACTTGACTATAAGTGCTTAATGGTACAAAAATGTATACGTATGTAGATAACACAATTAAATTTGAGCAGGCTGCAAAACTCTCATAGAACATGGTACACACAACAAATCATGGGACAATTTATCAAGTTGATAAAATAACAATGTAAAATTTGTATATAAATACCAAAACAAAAAAAATAAAACACTTAACAATTATAATTATAATAATACTGTATTATTATTAGTATAATTAACTAATCATGCAGAAAATAGTGCTCGTTATTGTGGCCATGGTCGGTTTGGCTGCGGGCCGTAACATCAATTGGAACGGTCTTAACTTGATCAAGGGGTTTGAGGGGTACCGTGCCAACTATTACCTCGATCAAATTGTAAGTGGTGAACTTAATTTCTAATATTCATGCATGTAACAATTATTTATAATTATTTTACTTAATACAAACACTATATTTAACCATGTTCAGGGCCAAAAAACAATCGGCTACGGACATTGTTGCGTGTACCATCCCTGTGACCAACTGCGCCCGCCCCTATCCGAGGCACAGGCTACCCAGCTGCTTCAAGCTGACCTTGGTGAATTCCAGAACTGCGTGGAGAACTCTTTTCCTGGTAAACTCAGTGACAACCAATTCGCTGCTGTAAGTTATTAACAAACAAATAAATTATTTACAATAATAAATAATGCGCCACGCTGGCTTAAAAAAAATTAAAACAACCCTGACAGTTTGAAGTATTATTTAAACATATTTGCCACACCCCGTAGGCCACGTCATTCGCGTTCAACATGGGTTGCGGCGCGTGGACCGGTTCGCACATACTGTCTAACCTCCGGGCCAACAACTGGGCCGCCGCTGCCAATGCCTTCAATGAGTACACATGGATGGGCGGCCACCAGATCGCCGGCTTAGTTGTCCGCCGCCAAAAGGAGGCCCAACTGTTCCGCTCGTAAACATAATAAGACCATGTTACGATGATTTTATATCTGTATTACCATGTAAAAATTATTAAATTAAAATTTTACCGCTTTCATTTGCAATTCTTATTTTCACTTGTTCATTTTTGTTTGTTATGTAAAATTTATTTAAAATTTATTATTAAATTAATTAATTGTTAGGAACTGTAGATGGTACCTTGTAACACTTTGTTCCTTAATTGAAAGCTAATAATTATATAGTACAATAAATAAATGTAATATAATATCATGTTTTTAAAAATTATTTTATAATATTAATATAAGGACCAAGTACGTTTTATTTGAATCATTATTATCAAGATACCATGAATAACTTCCATATTATACTGTATAACACCAATATTTTAAATAAATGTAAAATTTTTAAATTGTTGACAATAATAACATTTATTAGATCATTAAACATTTATTAAATAAATCTACACTATGCACTAAATATCTACCAATTATCTCATTTATATGTACATAACAACAATAAATTGTTTTCAATTATATGTCTGTCAATCTAGTCACTAGTTTCTAGTGCATTACAATAAATATTTTTAGCAATACGTTTAAATAATATAAACCTTTTCAGTTTGTAAATTACATTAAAAAACAAAAATATTTGTTTAATGAAATTCACTAAATAAACAAATAATTGAAAACAATTTTTGCTGTTATCTACATACTATATAAATGAGACATTTGTTAGATATTTATTGTATAATGTAGACTCATTGTTACATTTTAACATTGTTAATTGCCAGTAATTTTTAACAAATAAAATTAATTAAAAATGTTTGGTCGTGATTTTAACGTATGCAAACCAACAGGGTTTGCATTAGGGTTTAGTTGCGGCAACTTTAACAATATGTCCGATGCATGCAAACAACCAGCGTTCAATATATGTAATACTAACAAGTTTACTTATAAAACTACCGTGTGCAAACCGCCATCATTACCATTTGCTAATGCATTTGTTAATGAACCAACATGCAAAAGGGTCACGTTGACTAACCCTGATTTTTACAATGGTTCTGACATGTATAACATCAAAACTAACCCTAACAGTAATAACTTGCAGAATAAATTCAAAATTGACAAACAGCCACCGTTTAACCATAATGACTACTTATTGGCCAATAATAGCGCGTGGAAACAACCGACGGCAAGTCCCTGTTATCCTGGCATATTTGACAAAAATTTGAACATGGTCACACATTCAAAAGTTGTTAACCATAGCCAGCCAGCCAAGCAAGTGGTAAAGGTTACTACAAAATCACCGCGCAAGAAGATATTATTTATGACCCCCTCGAAAGATTAATGAATGATCTTGCACATCAAAACTATTGGGTTCAAATACTAAAGTGTTAAGTAATAATTCGCGCAACCTAATATATCTATGTTATTGTTAAAATATAATTAACATTTAATAATTATTATTTCAGCGATATTAAATCACTTTATTTATAATTATATTTTTGCCTAATAATGTTTTAACTAAAGAATAAAGTTTAATGTTAATGGGTTTTGGGCCAAAAATTTTATATTAAAAAATTTTAATTTTTTTTAATTTGCCAAATTAATTATCACTGTAAGCATAATTGAAATTGATATAAATGATGTTCGGTAATTACGTTATTCACTATAAAAAACGTACATAACTAATACTAAATTTCTTAATTTTGATATAACTTTTGCCGATTAGGTCAGATTTGAGAAATTCTTTCGGATATCGATTCTACTCATCCATACCTTTCTATTGATATATAATATGACATGGTTATTTATAAAATAAAAAATTTGATTTTCAAAATTTTCCCGATAATAGTGGTCACTACGGCCAGACCCAATAGTATCTGGACATATGAAGTATATCACTCGACTACCTATTGAGTGTACTTTCATTTTATAACAATGATTCCAAAGTCCTCGCTATCCCACGAATGGGCATCATCTTTTATTTAACACATTACATTATATATCAATGATATTATATTTCAATAACATTCTATTAATAAATTTATGCGGTTATTATAAAAGTGATGACTTCCATCACTCAAGTGATGACTCCAATTATTTCCATTGAATTTACATTATGCTCAAGTGATGACTCCCATCAACTCAAGTGATAGCTTCAATGACTCAAGTGATGACTCGCATCACTCAANCAAGTGATGACTCCAATTATTTCCATTGAATTTACATTATGCTCAAGTGATGACTCCCATCAACTCAAGTGATAGCTTCAATGACTCAAGTGATGACTCGCATCACTCAAGTGATAGCTTCAATCACTCAAGTGAAGACTCCAATTATTTCCATTGATATTACATTATGCTCAAGTGATGACTCCCATCACTCAAGTGATAGCTTCAATCACTCAAGTGATGCGAGTCATTAGTTGAGTGATACCATTAACAAAATTTGCTATTACAAATTAAGTCACAAAAACAATTTATTTTATTTTAAAACATATACAATAGGTGTAATAACATCAGGTAAACGANGAGAGAGAGAGAGAGAGAGAGAGAGATTAGATAAATTATAAAATATAATTTATCATTATTATTATTGATTAATTATTTTGCATAATATCCCATATAATGACCAAGTTGGTATCGTTTGCATTCACCATGGGCTGCACTAGTCTCCAAAACTCTACCCTATTGAAGTATGTGAAGGCCAGGGACTACTCGGCCGCCGCTAATGAGTTTGGCAAATGGGTTAAAGCGGGCCCCAATGGACACAAACAAACTCTGCCCGGACTCGTCACCAGACGGGAGCGCGAGAGACAGCTATTTATTAGTCATTAAAACAATGACTGTATGAATCTATTAAATCAATCTGGTTTAAATGATTATATATGTAACATTATATAACTGTACTATTTAAATAATAATATTAACATTGTATCATTATTATTTTAGTAATATAATATTATTTTGCATTTGAAATTTTATTTTTATGCCTAATAAATTATTAGTAATAATGTTAAAACTTTAGAAATTTATGAATACAAATAAATACTTACATCGTTAGTGATTACTTATTGATCATTTACATTATAAAAAATTTATATAAATAACAACTATAATTATTATTTCAGTAATATAATATCACTTTAAATTTGAAATTATAATTATATTTTTATCTAATAATGTGAAAACAGAAATAAATTATTATTAATTTTTTTTACAAATATTTGAACATTTAAAAAGTAATGTTTATTTTTAAAAAAATATTAAAATGATAAAAGTACAATTATTTTATAAATTTTATTAAAATTTTAAACATTTATTTCATAAAGTAATCCATTTCTTAAATTATATATCATATAACATCATTTTGGCATAGATTAGACTTTGTATATGTTATACATTGTCAATGTTAGTTAAATAAACAACATGATTGAATGTCATTTAAATATCAGTTTTATGCAATCATAACAAAACATTTATAATCTAAAGTCTGGATTCTAAACGCTATCCAAATAATCATAATAACAACATTGATGCTATTTTCTCATATGTATCTCATGCAATGCACTACATCTAGATTGGATTACATAATGTCATTATTTTGCTTATATAAAATTACAATTTTATTTAAAGTTGCAATTGAAATATTTACGACACATGCTGTCCAGATTGCATATAAGCTCATGGTAGAGCAATTATTAAGTCATTGTTTCTTGGCTCACCATCAGTATTTGTCTTAATATTTAACTTTGTTTGTTACCGCAGTGTTATAGCAACTATTACAATAATTAATTGTAAGTTAATATATATAATTAAATAATTAACTAATTGTTTTATTTAATTCACCCAGGTTTATTTTACATCAAAATGTCAAAATTGCTAATTCTTCTCGCAGTATCAGTCGGTGGGCTTGTATATGGCCAAGACCTGTTACATTTTCAAAAGCTTGTGGCCAGGCACAGGTCTATTAATAATTACATTAACCATTCGGTCGCTGGCCGTAAAATTAACCAGCATGGTCTCACTTTGATCATGGTGTCGGAGGGATTCTTTGCCAATTTCTACGATGATGATACGGTAAATTATGTTAATATTTAAGACATATTAATAATTTTAATAATTTAATAATTAATATTGAATAAGATTAAATAAATAGTTAATAAATATATTTTTATACATCAGGGTATCCGTACAATAGGATACGGACACAACTGCAATGCCCAGGACTGCTCCAATCTTCGCCCACCAATAAGCCAGACTCAGGCCATTAACCTATTGCTCCAGGATTTAGTGCAATTTCAAACCTGTGTCCATGATCAAGTTCCATTTGTCAACGATAACCAATTTGCCGCTGTAAGTCGCTTTAGTTAATTAATTATTTATATTTTAATTATTTGTATTAAAATTATTACAAGATTACTATAGATAAATTAATTCTATCAATAATTGCGTGATTAATAGCTAGCTAATTAGAAAAACTATGAAAATAAATTATTAATAATATTTATATTTATTAATCTAATAGTAATAACAAAGTAAAACAAAACAATATTACATACATGTATAATCTATGTACAGTTGGTATCGTTCGCATTCAACGTGGGCTGCGGTAACCTCGAGTCGTCTACCCTATTGAAGTACGTGAAAGCCAGGGAGTACTCGGCGGCCGCCACTGAGTTTGGCAAATGGGTTCGCGCGGACGAACGCGTAGTGCCCGCACTCGTCACACGTCGAGCCCGCGAGAGGGCGCTCTTTCTTAGGGGTTTTGCCGATAGTCTACTGATAATTCATTCATCAGTGATGACTGCTTTATCCGATTTGTTGTCTGGTATTTATGATAATCATGATATCACTTCCAAATAATGTAATTATTGATTCCACATTTATTATTTTATTTTATAAATCAATTAATTATATACTTATTATTTAGCTTATTATGCTTATTTTATTACCATATATGTATTTTTTATTAACATTTTAAAATTTTTATTTACATTTATTTGATTAATTATAACTATAATGCATAAATTATGGTTTTATCTAAAATTATATTTAATTTAAACAATTATATAACTTTTTTTATTTAATTTTTAATTTTTATTTAATGATATTGGTATTTTTTACAAAAACATGATTACCACTGTATTATTATTTATATTCTTACTTAATACCAATATCAAGTTTAGTACTAATACCAATATCAAGTTTAATACTAATACCAATACACTTAAAAACATTATGAATTTATCAATATAAATTGCCACAAGTGTCAACATAACAATGTTAATTGTATGGGACATCAAACAATAGACTTAAACCTTACTATAAATATAATAAATAATTGATAGCTAGGTATTATCTATTTATAAATTTGAACCACTTCATTGTTTTAAAATAGTTTTATCACGATCACTAGTGTATATAAACGAGAAAACAAAAATTATATTATTTAATAATACAAAGCTTATAAATTCAACATGAACAAAACAATCTCAGTACTTTTGCTGATCGTGGCGTTGGTCAGCGGCCGCAACATTAACAAGGCTGGCGTTGCTTTGATTGAGTTGTCCGAGGGGTTCAGGGCTAATTTCTATGGCGACCCAGTGGTATATATATTTGATATAAATATTATTGTAATCGTGTTCATTTTATGTAATTAACAAATGCCCTAGATTAACTAAAATTAATTATTATTATAAGTAATTACAAAGTTAATGACATTTAATAGGGAATCCGTACGATAGGGTACGGACACAACTGCAAAGCCCAGGGCTGCTCCAGCATTCACGCGCCAATCTCCAAGTCACAGGGTGAGGCACTATTACATAAGGACCTAGTACAGTTTCAAAACTGTGTACAGAGCCGCGTGCCATTTGTGACCGATAACCAATTTGCTGCCGTAAGTGTATTATATTATTTATTTTTAAAAAAAAACACCAGTCAAAATATTTATTCAAACACCAACTAAAGTTACTAAAGTAACTGGCAAATACAATATTAATAAATATTATTAAATAAAGATTTTACAGATTTATATTATATTCTTGATTTAATCATGCTCAAATAAAACATCATACGGATGCAGTTAGTATCGTTCACATTCAACTTGGGCTGCGGTAACCTCCAGTCGTCTACCCTATTGAAGTACGTGAAGGCTAAGAACTATTCGGCCGCCGCTAAAGAGTTTGCCAAATGGGTGTACGCGGGCGGACACAAGTTGCCCGGTTTGGTCACCCGTCGGGCCCGCGAGAGAGCGCTCTTCCTTAAAAAGTAAAAACTTACACAAAATGTATAGATATTCATAAATGTCAAAATGTAATAATAAATAATTTAATAAATTATTTTTAATGAGTTGTAACATACTGTATGATTACTTATAATCAGAACTCTTAAAATTATATTTAAATTATGTTTTTTTGAAGAATGTTTTTTAAATTCATAAACGAAAAAATATTAACCACGATAAAAATATGTGAAATATAAATTACTACAAGATATTGTAAAATAAAATGTATACTGTTTGTAAGAGTTTTTTGTATAAACTTTTTAAAAATACAATTCCATTTATATTTATTATATGAAAATAATTTATTAAATTAATTGTGTAATTATCTTGTTTTATAATTGACATTGTTCATGTGTTTAAACTTTATTGCAAATTCTGTTATTTTTTTAAATAATATTGTAATATAATTATTGAGTAATAAATGTTATTTAACTTATAGGTTAGGCACACTTTAAATAAATAGCAAGGTATTTTAATTTCTAATGTATATACAGTCAAAACTCTGTGTTGTGAATAGATCGGGTCCAGGACTTTTGGTTTATAACAAAGAGTTGTTCACAACATAGAGGTTGTTTTAACATTAAGTCTATGTGGTGTAGGTTTTGGTTTATGGTTCATAACATAGAGTAGTTCACATCATAGAAGGTTCACAGCATAGAGTTCCCACTGTAATAAAACAATATAAAATTTAAATTATTATTAAATAGACTATTTAAAATAGTAAATAAATAATAACTTTATTTTATAATGACCTGACTACTTTTAAAATTAATCAGTACTTAATTAATAACCTTGATAGTTTTCCACACAAACATGATAAATTATCATTGATAATATAATTACTTAATAATTGACACTTGAAAACTTATTTAACAATAGCCACAGGTACATTTCAAAGTTAATTGTATTTACGTCAAACAATAGACTTTAAACCGCACTATAAATATAATAAACAATTAATAACTAGATGACATTTAATTAAATTGTTATCTAGTTATCAATTTCAAGCACATTATTAAATTAATAACAAATACTTTAAACTATCAAAACAACATTGTGTAAAAATAGTTTTATCATGATCAAAAGGGTATATAAACGCATAGGCAATAATGTTTTATTTATTAGTACAAAGTTGACATTCAACATGATCAAAACAATCTCGGTACTTTTGCTGATCGTGGCGTTGGTCAGCGGCCGCAACATTAATAAGGCTGGCGTTGATTTGATCGAGTTGTCAGAGGGGTTCAGGGCCAATTTCTACGGCGACCCAGTGGTATGTTGTTTGTTGACAATAATTTTGTGTTTGCATGTTAATTTAATGTAATTTATAATCCTCATATATTAGCAAAAATTAATTATAGTTAATTATAAGTAATCAAAAGTTTCATTTGATTTAATAGGGTATCCGTACGATAGGGTACGGACATAACTGCAATGCCCAGGGCTGCTCCACTATTCACGCGCCGATCACTAAAGCACAGGGTGAAGCACTATTACACCAGGACCTAGTGCAGTTTCAAAACTGTGTGGAGGCTCAAGTGCCATTTGTTAATGATAATCAATTTGCTGCTGTAAGTCTTTGATACAATTTACTAAATTTATTTAATAAATTTGCTAATATATTCATTAAAATACCCTAGATCAATCTATGCAACTCTAAAGCATAATAATTTAACAATAAATTTTAATTAGATATTAGTAATATAAATAATTAATTTACTAATGGTTTACGAATTATAATAATTTTATTAATTAATATGATTTTTTATTTTATTTTGGATTAAACCATGCGCAAATAAAACACACCATACGGATGCAGTTGGTATCGTTCACATTCAACTTGGGCTGCGGTAACCTCCAGTCGTCTACCCTATTGAAGGACGTAAAGGCCAAGAATTACGCGGCGGCCGCTAATGAGTTCGGCAAATGGGTGTACGCGGGCGGACACAAGTTGCCCGGTTTGGTCACCAGACGTGCCCGCGAGAGGGCGCTCTTTCTGGCCTAAACACTCGCGACAAATGCGTTATAATTATAACATTTATTAAATGTAAAAAATCTAATAATAAATAAGTTAATTGAGTTTTGATATATTATTTATTTATTGTCAATAGTGTTATAGTTTGATACAACATAGATGTTAATAAAGGTAGATAGATACAATGTAGATAAAAAGCGATATTTTTTAAAAAGTAAAAAATTGTATAAACATTTTTACATTTAAAAATGTAATAAATTTTGCTAAAATTATCTGGATACACTTAAAATAAATCAATACTTAATTAATGACTTGGTAATTTAAAAATTATGGTATTGTTGCTTAATAATTGACACTTTAAACCATATTTAACCATATTTCAAATGTAACAACGTCAATGTTAATTGCATTGACGTCAAACAATAGAGGTAATAAATATAACAAACAATTAATAACTACATGGTATTTAGTTAAATTTTTGTCTATTTATCATTTTTAACCACCTTAGCAAATTAATAACAAATGCTACAGAACAGCATATATTATGCAAAAATCGTTTAATCATGAACAAAATAATTGTATATAAACGCATAGATAATAGTATTCTAATTATTAGTACAAAATTAATATTCAACATGATAAAAACAATCTCGGTACTTTTTCTGGTCGTGGCGTTGGTTAGTGGCCGAAATATTAACAGGGCTGGCATTGATATGATTAAATCGTCCGAAAGGTTCGTGGCCAATTTCTATGCCGATCCAGTGGTATGTTGTAATTGTTAATACATTGTAATACTCATATTTCTGTATTAATTTTATTTACTCATTATATATATTGAAAAATAACTAAAATTAATATTAATAATGACAATAAAAAGACATTAAAATATTTTATTTATTATCCATACCAGGGTATCCCTACGGTAGGCTACGGACACAATTGCAATGCCCTGGGATGCGACACAATTCGCGCGCCGCTCACACAGGCACAGGGCGAGGCACTATTATTAAAGGACCTAGCGCAGTATCAAAACTGTGTCAATGATCAAGTGCCATTTGTCAACGATAATCAATTCGCCGCCGTAAGTTGTTCTGTTTTAATACATAAATTGTTTATCCTGGTTATTTTTAACAATTTTTGTCAACCATTTGAACATTGACCGTGGTCAAACCCAATTATTTACTATATTTGAATTAATCTAATAACATATCTATTAAAATACTATGAATATAACTAATGTACTGTATGTAGCATTAATGCATTTATAATTTAATGATTGTAAAATACTAATTATATATTACTAGATTTAAATTCATAATAATTTTACAGTATAATAGTAATTCTCATTGCATATTTATGAATTAACCATGCACAAATAAAACACACCATACGGATGCAGTTGGTATCGTTTACATTCAACTCGGGCTGCGCTGCCCTCAAGAACTCTACCCTATTGAAGTACGTGAAGGCCAGGGACTACTCGGCCGCCGCTAACGAGTTCGGCAAATGGGTTAAAGGGGGTCCCGAAGGACACAAGCAAACTCTGAAGGGACTCGTCGCCCGACGGGAGCGCGAGAGACAGCTGTTTGTTGCCTAAACACCCGGGACAAATGCATTATTATTGTAATTTGTAACATTTTTTCAATGTAAACTAAATAATAATTAATAAATAAGTTTAGTCAGTTTTGAAATATTATTTATTTAATGCCAATAGTGTTGTAACAATTGTTAATTATTTTATAGACCTGTCTACACGATACGTTGATATTTTAAGTCTATATGGCGAGGGTTAAAATATTTACTCAATCTATTAATTTACATTAAACGCTTATTTTGTTATAATTAAAATATCACACAAATTATAAGATATTGTAATTTTTAAGATAAAAAGTAGATGTACAAATTAGTCACTATTAGATTAATTTTAAACAGACAATGCAACTATTGACTTTGTAAAAATTTTTAACGAATAGTCAACATGTTTTAATATAAACTGTGTATATTTCAAAATTATGTAATATCTATTTTTATAAACTCTTTACTTAATCTATAAAGAAATGAAATTATCTGTATAATTAATGTAAATATTTAATATTAACAATAACAGTTTAATTTAAATTATTTATTAATAAAGCTTAATTTTTCGGTGTGTAAAAACATCCTGAATAAAAAAGTAAAAATCGGGAATATTCGGGAATTATGTGCTTATTCAATCATAGATCAATTATCATGCATTTAAATCAATTAAAAATGAATTATATTTGATAATGATATGAAATTTAATATTTTGTTCAGTTAATGAATGTCTTTGATCTGTAATAATTAAAATCAATATTTTATAAGACATTTCATCTGAAATTCTTATGGATTATAAACGTGTTTTATAAAACAAATTTTGATACCAATTACCGTATATTTAGTTTAAATTTTTTTTAAAAGATTGAATGAAATAACTATTAAATAAATAATTTTATCGTATATTGCCTATTGTCGGGAATTTTTTTTAAATATGCTAACGTCGGGAAAATAAAACTTATATATTTTTGGTTTATTATAATCCCTAAATACTAATCCCTAAATCTTAAGCATAATTGTATATAATTTCCAATGATGTTTTATTATTAAATGCCCGAAGACTGGATGTTTTATTAATTAATATGCATTTCAAAATGATTATAATAACAGCAATCTAAGCAAATAAAAGCAATCTTTAAATGGTATATAAATGAGCAAATTATTACGCATTTACTTTATAATCAAAAATAAATTAATAAAGAATTATTACGTATATTAACATTTAGTTAACATAAGGCATATTGTATTTATTTAAAATACCATGTTTAAAACTACGGCAATTCTCTTAGCTACCATGGTGGTAGTTAATGCAGCAAATATCGGTAACAGCGAACATATGCTGTCGGATAATAATGACCTATATGATTATTTTTGTGGAGCACTCAATTGCCTTAAAAGGGGTATTGAATGTATAATGTGCTGTATACGTGCATTACAAGATTATGCTCGTGCTAACCCTCCGACTACATCGTCCACAAGCCAACCAACTAACCCAACTTCTACCCCAACCACTATCACTACTCCTAAACCAAAGAACCAACATCGTCAAGTTAATCAAGCTAGCATTGATTTGATCAAGACCCATGAAAAATTCATGCCCAATTACTATAAAGATATAGCGGTAAACTAAACTAATAAAATACTATCTAACATAAATGTTATCTTATAATAATTTAACAAGGATCACCTAGCGACGCTATACGTTAACCACTATTTGTGTTATGCTCAAAGAATAGAATACCATTGTCCATAGACTTAATATGAATCGCATAAGCAAAATATTGTCCATGCTATTAACATTACCTCCATAGAGTTAGCAGTGTCCATAGACTTAGCATTACCTATGTTAAACCAATGTCATAGACTTAAGCTGTAGTCTCATAGAAAGCCACGTATAAGCATTTTTCCATAAAAACGTTCCTCATGTTATCCTATATAAGAATCTACATGTTAAAATATATTAGAATCTCATGTTAAATCCCATAGTATGGGGAGATGGATGGCTGACGATTCTATAAACTACACTTTTAATAGATGAATGTTGGTAAAAACTATATTAAATAAATAAGTTTCGTCTGCACAGGGCCAACAAACCATCGGCTACGGACACAAGTGTGGTTTAAAGCCCTGTCCCGATATTAAAGCACCAATTACCCTGGAAAGGGCAAAACAAATATTACGCGATGATATGAACTATTGGGAAACATATGTCCAACAGCACGTGCCATTTGTCAACGACAATCAATTTTCCGCCGTAAGTACTATATTTATTATACATATTTATATGAAGTATGATTTATTATCAATATAAAGTTATAAATACACTTATGTATATACTTATAACCAGGAATTGCCATTTTGAAATGTAATAGTAAATAGTCAATACTGTATGAGCTATCAATATAGCAATTTATAAACAAATTAATATTTGATAGCATTAATCATTTTATTACTAAAATATAACCTCACTATACAATAGTGGCAAAAAAAGAGTGGGCCGAACGATTCTATAAATATGTATAATAAATATAGTACTTACGGCGGAAAATTGATTGTCGTTGACAAATGGCACGTGCTGTTGGACATATGTTTCCCAATAGTTCAT